TTCATTGGAAGGACTGATGCTGAAGCTGAAACTCCAATACTTTGGCCACCTGATGCGAAGAACTGACTCATTTGAAAAGACCCTGATGCTGGGAAAGATTGAAGGCAGGAGGAGAAGGGGATGACAGAGGATGAGATGGTTGGATGGCCGACTCAATGGACATGAGTTTGAGTAAACTCCAGGAGTTGGTGATGGACAGGGAGGCCTGGCATGCTGGAGTCCATGGGGTTGCAAAGAGTCAGACACAACTGAGCAACTGAACTGATCTAATTTTTGAAATGAGATGGAGTATAAATCAATTTTTAAATACAGTTGTTCCTGTGGCAGGTATTAAACACCTTCTTTTGCCAGCCTTGACTAAACATATTTCCTGCACTATATATGTCTGAGTAATATAAATTAAATGGTTGTAAAAGAAGACAGCACTCACTGAGGGCTGGTGTGGTTACACTTAAGTGGGTGCAGGAAGTATGTGGATAGAGTGAGTAACTTCTCACAGATCCTTATGAACCCATCACCCACCTGTCTTAGTTCACGGTCAAGCTGAGTTTGTGCAACCTGCAACAGGAACGTCATGCTTTTAGGAGAGAAGGCCTTGTGACTGGGATTCTTACTCCTCAGTGAGGCCTTCATTCACCACATTTACTGCATGTAAATTTTATAAAGGAAAAAGAGAAAAACAGTACTGAAATTATGACACACACACCATAAAAATGACTAGAATTTATTGCCTTGAAGTTTTTATTTTAGACTTTCAGATATACAGTCATTTTTAAAAGGTATTTACAGTTCAATATGCATAATTTTTTAATGCCTATTTAATGGTTCATGATGTTGTTTTTGTTCAGTCGCTAAGTCAGACATGACCTCTTTATGACCTCATGGACTTCCTCACACCAGCCTTCCCTGTCCTTCACTATCTCCTGAAATTTGCTCAAACTCTTGTCCATTGACTCAGTGATGCCATCCAAGCGTCTCATCTGCTGTCATCCCCATCTCCTCTTGCCCTCAATCTTTCCCAGCATCAGGGTCTTTTCCAATGATTCAGCTCTTTGATCAAGTGGCCAGCCAAAGTATTAGAGCTTCAGCTTTAGCACCAGTCCTTCCAATGAAAATTTGGAGTTGATTTCCTTTAGGATTGACTGGTTTGATCTCTTTGCTGTCCAAGGGACTCTCAAGAGTCTTCTTCAACACCACAGTTCAAAAGCATCAATTCTTCAGCACTCAGCCTTCTTTATGGTCCACTCTCACACCTGTCCATGACTACTGGACATAGCTTTGACTATGATGTCTCTGCTTTTTAATACACTGTCTAGGTTTGTCATAGCTATTCTTCCAAAGAGCAAGCATCTTTGAATTTCATGGCTGCAATCACTGTCTGCATTGATTTTGGAGCCCAAGAAAATGAAATCTGACATTGTTTCCACATTTCCCCCATCTATTTGTGATGAAATGATAGGACTGGATGCCATGATCTTTGTTTTTTGAATGTTGAATTTTAAGCCAGCTTTTTCACTCTCCTCTTTCACCTTCATCAAGAGGCTTTTTAGTTCCTCTTCATTTTCTGCTGTTAAAGTGGCTTATCTGAGGTTGTTGATATTTCTCCCAGCAATCTTGATTCCAGCTTGTGATTCATCCAGCCCAGCATTTCACATGAAGTACACTGCATTTAAGAGTATATAATGTGTGTTATATCTAATAATAACTTTTAAATTGTGAGGATTTATCTTAGCTAGGGAAATATCTCTGTCCTGGTCTGATTCAAATAATTTTTTTCTTTTGGTGTTTTGATTCAGGGAAATAAATTCTTGATTATCTACTTTAGTGATATAGTTTTTTATAAATACCACATTTCTAGCTCATCACATTCTGCTACTTTTAGAGAGAGCTCAGAGAAGGCAGGATCACCTTATTTGGACTTTCAGCCAGGCATTTGATGGTGGAAGGAGAGGCATCATAGTGAGTGTGTGCCTTAGAACCAAAAAGATTAGACCAAAAATAAAAAATTGTCATTTGGGATTAAGTTTACACTGTTCATTCACTCTGAAAAATCCAGTTGTTGTTTAGTCGGTAAGTTGTGTCCAACTCTTTTGAGACCACACAGACTGTAGACTGCCAGGCTCCTCTGCCCATGGAATTCTCCAGGCCAGAATTACTGGAGTGGGTTGCCATTTCCTACTCCAGGAGGTCTTCCCTACTCAAGGATAGAACTTGCGTCTCCTGTATTGGCAGGCAGATTCTTTACCACTGAGCCCAAAATGCTAGGGAAGCCCAAAATGCAGAGTTGAATGTAATTACCATTTCCTTTACAATGTTATAAAGATTAGTTCATCCTAAGCTTTCTCTTTCAGAACAAATCTCTTGTTCTTATGTTCTCATGTTGCTGAAACAGATGTTAAAATACGTCTGAATTAGGATGGAACCCACAGATAACCAAAGATCTGTACTGCAGCAAAGATACTGGCTCTCCCAAATGTAATTGAAATATTAATATCTTGACCTTATTAGGTAGTGTCATATCAAAAATAAAGAAAAGGAAATGGAATTTTGCTAGCTAAAATTAATTATAAGATAAAAATATCAGAGTACCAATACCTTTAGTTCAAAGTGTTTCTAACATGCTTTTTGTTTATAATCTTATACTGCTTCACTGTTCCTTATTAACTGAATGACGCCATGCTCATTGAAGCTCATAAAATTGTAGTTTTGGTAAGTGACAGATTAGTCTGACTGGCACTTGTAAGATTGTAAACGTCAAATAAGCGTGCTCTGCAGTTTGACAGCTTCTTTTTCATCAAGTAATTTAACAGCTCCTTTTTGTGTGTATCTGTGTTTCCCAAAGGATGATATTGGAAAACTCGGCAAGTTGTTGATGCATGGTTCTTTCAACGTTTGGACAGTTCACAAAGATCGTTATAAGATGAAGGATTTAATTCGATTTAAGCCCAACCAGAGGCAAATCTATCTATTTGAACAGGGAATAGTGTTCTGTAAGATACAGATGGAGCCCAGTGACCAGGGCCTGTGCCCTCACTACAGCTTTAAGAAGTCTGTGAAGGTAAAGGTGTCCTATTGCTCTTGGGAGTCAGCACAACCCTGTGGAAAGAAATATTTTTATCTTTACTTAATAGATAAAGAAACTGAAGCTTAGAGAGGCGAGGTTAACTTGTCAGATGCCACAAACAGAGTGAGAATCCACCCAGGTCTGATTCCAGAGTCAGAGCTTGTAGTCAGTCACTAGATAGGCCCAGGTCTAGGGCCTTTGTACTAGGTTGAGAAAAGGGACCCTATGGCAGCCTATCTAGACAAACTAATTAAAAAGTACCCTCTTTCATCCAGGCAGAGGATTGAAAGTCTTGGAGATTAGAGCAAGGGCTGAATTTCATTTTCTCAACCATGCATCTTTTCATCAGGTGACATCTGATCCTGGGGGTCTAGGGACCCATGTCCACACCAAGCATTGCCTCTTGCTTGTATGAGAAATATTTCATAGCTAGCAATCACATATACACATACATACTCTTGTGATTAAAATTGTTGATGTATTCATAGTGCTTTTTATTTATGTTTCATAGTGGACACTAATTCAGTTACTACTATGTAGAGATTTGTGAAATACTCAGGTATTAAAGGAGAGATCACCATTTTGCTTAAAGTAAAGGCTATAGCTGTGCCTGTGGAATGATATAATCTGTGTTGTCCTCTGAAACACACAAGATAAATGACACAAGATTGTGTTTTATGTTCCCTGGGGTTGTTAACAAAGAACAGAAAAACACTTAGAAGAAAGATGGAAGAAAACAGATCAAGGGTAGAAAGTGGAGTGACAGACAGGGATAATTCTTAAATCGGAAGATACGGCATAGAGAATTTTCTTCTTTGTTTACAATAGTTGATGACACTTTCAATTCGCCAACTTGGAAGGGGGAGCAACAGAAAGTTTGAAATTGCCAACCAAAATGGACTTGAAAAATACATCCTACAGGTAAAATTCATGCCTTTCCCATAGGTGTCTCTTCTCTTTTCCTATCATGTTCCCATAACTCAGCAAGTGTTTTTTATCTCATTCTAAAAGTCACCCAGAGAATAAAAGTCCTGTCCAATTAATGTACCAGGTGATAATATTCAGTATTTTCTTATCTGTAATTACAGGCAGCTTCAAAAGAAATCAGAGATTGTTGGTTTTCAGAAATAAGTAAATTATTGATGAAACAGCAAAACAATATTAAAGGTAAGGTTACCCTTGCTGATTTCAGTCTGGGGAGTATACTGATTCCAGCTTTGTGGGGAATCCATGTGGAGGTGTGGAGATTGGGGATGCTGTTAAAGAAAATTGTTTGCCTAGAAAATAACTGTGGGCACATTTTCATAGTACCTGGAAGCATCTGTGCTTGCTTTAGATTGTGTAAGGGTTTTGTAATTGTGTGTATGTCCCTTTTAAACATGATCTCACCTGCCCAATTGCCCAGACCCAATTTTCTCAATCAGGAGTCAACAATATGCAGCCCAGAGGAGTGTCCTCACTAGAGCTCAGCTAGACTGGCACCCTTATCTCAGACTTCCAACCTCCAGAACTGTAAGAAGAAACTTCAGTCATTTATAAGCCATCCAGGATATGGTATTTTGTTACAGCAGCCTGAATTAAGACAGCAGACTTGATGAAAATCAGTTGGCCATAGATATAGAATTCTTGGTTGAGAGTCTTTTCCTTAAAGCACTTTTGTCATCCCACTATTTTGTAGCCTCCATAGTTTATAATAAGAGTTAAGCTATTTACTTATTTAAAAATATTTGCAGGATACAGGTTGCTTTTCTCTTGCTGCTTTCTAGATTCTCTCTCTCTCTTTTTTTTTAATTGAAGGGTCATTGACCTACAGACTATGTTTGTTCTAGGTACACAGCATAATAGTTCAGTATTTCTATACACAAAATATTGCCACAATACATGTCAAAAGGTATACTGTCTGGGAATTCACTGGCAATGCAGTGGTTAAGACTCCACACTTCCACTGCAAGGGGCACAGGTTCAATCCCTGTTCAGGGGACTAAGATCCTGCATGCCACACAGCATGGGCCAAAAAAAACGTATATTGCCTATGTTTTCCTTCAGGAGTTTTATGGCTTCAGGTCTTACATTTAAGTCTTTAATTTATTTTGAGTTTATTTTTGTACATGGTGTAAGAAAGTAGTTAATTTTGATTCCCTTGCATGTAGCAGTCCAGTTTTCCAACACCATTTGTTGGAAAGGCTGTCTTTTCCCCAATGTATATTATTGCCTCCTTTGTCATAGATTAATTGTCTACATAAGTGTGGGTTTATTTCTGGGCCCTCTATTCTATTCCACTGATCTGTGTGTCTGTTTTTGTACCACTACTACATGTTTTGATTGCTGTATCTTTGTAATATAGTTTGAAATCACAGTTCGTGATACCATCAGCTTTGTTCTTTCTCAAGAATCTTTTGGCTATTCAGGTCTTTTGTTTCTATGCAAATTTAGAATTATTTCTTTTACTTCTGTGAAAAAATGCCATTGGTATTTTGAGAGGGCTTGCATTGAATCTGTAGATTGCCCTGGGGAGCATGGTCATTTTTAACAATATTGACTTCCAGTCTGTGAGCATGGTATAACTTTCTATTTGCTTGTGTTGTCTTAAATTTCTTTCATCAGTGTCTTATAGTTTTCTCTCCTTGGTTAGATTTCTTCCTAGGTATTTTATTCTTCTTGATGCAATTGCAAATTAGATTTTTTTCTTGATTTCTCTGTCTGATAGGTCATTGTTAGTATATAGAAATGCAACAGATTTGTGTATATTACCTTTGTATCTTGCAACTTTATGTAACTAGTTGCTTTCCCCTTGATGCTTTTAATTTTGCCATTTTAATTACAACCTATCTTAGTGTGCATATCTTTGGGTTCATCTTGTTTGGGACTCTCTGTGCTTCTGGACTTGGATGTCTGTTTCCTTCCCCAAGTTAGGAAAGTTTTAAGCTACTATGTCTCCAACTTCTCTCTCTCTTCTGGAACCCCTAGAGTACAAATGTTAATATACTTGATGTTGTCCCAGAGGTCTCTTAAACTGTCCTCATTTTTTACAGTTCTTTTTCTTTTTTCTGGCCAGCTTGGGTGATTTCCAGTATTCTGTCTTCCAGTTTGCTGATCCACTCCTCTGTATCATCTAATCTACTATTGTTTCCTTATAATATATATTTAATTTTAGTTATTGTATTGTCTAGCTCTGCTTAGTTCTTTATATTTTCTAACTCTTTAAAAATTATTTTAAAAAATTACTCTATATGTTCCTCTGTTTTTTCGCTCATTCAGCAGAGGGTATGGCAACACACTACAGTATTCTTGTTGGGAGAATCCCCATGTACAGAGGAGCCTGGTGGGCTATGGTCCATGGAGTCACAAAGAGTCGGACACGACTGAGCAAACTAAACACAGCACAGCACAGCATTTTATTATCATCACCTTGAGCTCTTTATTGGGTAAATAAGCAATAAGTATTGCTTAATAGTTCTTCTAGGGTTTTATTCTTGTTCTTTCATTTGGAACATTTTCCTCTGTCACCTCATTTTGCCTAACTTTCTGTTTTTACCTCTATGCGTTCTATCAGTTATGTTTCCCAATGTCAGAGATGTGCCTTGTGTAGGAGATGTTCTATGGGGCCCAACTTCTCTTTGATCACCAGAGTGATGTGTTCTAAGACTGCCTCCTCTGTGAGCTGTATGGACTTTTCTGTTGTGGTGAGGCTGACTACTGTAAGCATACTTGTAGCCAGGACGGGCCCCCATACCAACTGGCTGCCAGGCTCTGCCTCTTTGAGGATGCTCCTTGCCTGCTGGCAAGCAGTGCTAGGTCCTGGTGCAGTTGGCTTTGTGACTCAGGGGTTCCCAGGACTAGTGCTGGCACACTAGTGAGTGGGTCTGAATCCTGGGCCCTCTGGTGGATGAGGCTGGGTCCCTGAATGACCTGGGGATTCATGGGGTCTTAGGGCATCAGGCCTGCTGGTGAGTGGGGCTGTTCCCCAGAACCAATCATCTAGAGGGAAGATTCCAAAATGGCACTTGCCAGCACCAGTATCCTCATGATAGAATGAGTTCCTAAGTATGGCTGCTGCCAGCACCTGTATTCTGAGGAGTTCCTAGTTTCTTCCTACCTCTCTTGGAAGATCTACAAGATTAGCAAGTGGTCTAACTCAGGATTCTTTCAAACTATTTCTTCTGCCCTGGGTCTTAGAGCACATGAGATTTTGTACATGCTCTTTAAGAGCAGAGTCTCTATTTTCTGGTACCCTCTAACTCTCCCTAAAGTAATCCCCACTGGCCTTCAAAGCCATTGACTCTGGGGGCTCATCTTCCTGGAGCAGGACTGCTGAGCTAGGGAGCTCAGTGTGGGGTTTGTACCTCTTGCTCCTTGGGGAGAACTTCTGCAATTGTGATCATCCTCTTATTTGTGGGTTGTCTGCTAAGTGGGTATGGGTTTTAATTCTACTGCTTTTCTGCCCCTCCTGCTTATCTCATTTTACCTTCTTCATGTCTTTAGTTGTAGATAACCTTTTCTGCTAATCTTCAGGTGTTTCATATCAGTAGTTGCTTTATAAATAGTTGTAATTTTGAGGTAGTCATGAAAGGAGGTGATCTCGTTGTCTTCCTAATCTGCCATCTTGGCTATCTCTACTTTCTTTGTCTTTTGACAGTTTGATCATATTATGTATAGCTGGGGGGTCTCTGAGTTTTTATTTCTGGAGTTTTTAGATCACCTTGGATATGTAGATTAGCATTTTTCTTCGAATTTTGGAAGTCTTTGGCCATTATTTCTTCAAGTATTAATTTTTTCAGTCCTTTTTTCTGTCCTCTGGATCTCCTGTTAGGTGTATGTTAATATGCTTGTTGGTGTCCTATAGGCTTTTAAAGCTCTGTTTATTTTTTTCATTTTTCTTTCTATTCTTCAAATTGGGTAGTTTCAATTGACCCATATATAAGTTCTCTGATTCTTTCTTTGCCTGCTCAAATCAGCTATTGAACCACTGTAGTGAATTTTTCACTTCAGTTACTATACTTTTCAATCCAAAATATCTATTTTGTCCTTTTAAAGTATAATTTCACTCTCTTTATATTCTCTATTTGATGAGAGTTTGTTTTCATACTTTAGTTCTTTATGTATGGTTTCCTTTCATTCTAAACATTCTTTTTTAAGTTGATTTAGAATCTTGGTCTGGAAAGTGCAATATCTTGGCTTTTTCAGGGACAGTTTCTATTGACTCCTTTTTTTCCCCCTGTGTATGGGTTATATTTTCTTATTTCTCTGCATGCATCATAATTTTTCTTTGGAAAGTGGACATTTAAAATGACATAATGTGGCAACTCTGGAAATCAGATTCTCCTTTATCTCCAGTGTTTGCTATTGTTGCTGTCTGTGGTTTATTTAGTGACTTTTATGAAATAATTCTATAAAATCTATATTCATTGGCATGTGTGGTCACTAAAGTCTGCTTGGTTCATGATTGGGCAGAGGTTTTCTTAAACACCTGAAATCAATAAACATTCCAGTCTTTGCCAAGGAATTCTGTGTGGACTTTAGAGCACAACTTTAATACTCAGTCAGACAGGTGACAATTTCCTTAGCCTTCACTTATTTTTTGTGCAGAATCTCAAAATCAGCTGAGATGAGAGCATATGATCTTCTAAGATTTTTCCTGAGTGTGTGCACAACCCTTGGCATGTGCACAATGGCCTTCTAGAATCTCTAGAATATTTGGAGTTTTTCAAAACCGCTATGGATTCTGATGTTTTTCCTTTTCCTTTTTGATTATCTTATTTCTGTCCCAGCTGTTATCCAGTGCCTCACACAGCCAAGAAATTAAGTAATCACCTCTAGATATTTTCTCAAAGGGCCCTGGGGAAAAGGCTTTTCACAGTAAGCAAGATCTTAGTCAGTTAATAAAGACAGCCTTGCAAGTAGGATATTCCAAGGAGCCCCCAGACAATCAAATAATGACAGTTTTCTGGGAATGAGACTTTGATGGGGGTCCCCATTCTGCCCCCTCCTAGAGCTGCCAGCTTGCTAATTTTCACCATGATTACAGGCTGTTGGTTTTCAAGGCTGCCACTAAGAAAAAGGAGTAGAATGGGACTAGGGTAACTAAAACACCACAAAACTTACTGGTCATACTGAGATTCATCTAATCTTCTTGAACTAAGGCTCTCCTGAAGCCTTTGTTTAATTTC